ACCCGCCAAGGTCACACCCCTCACCTCTGGCCCCCTAATCAGATGGTGATCACAGCCCAGAGATGCTAACACAGATTGTCCATGTTCTGCAGCCGAATTCTGTTCCCTTATAAGGAAAAGCTATGCCCCTGGAAGTCTCACAGCCCGGAGTGGCTTCTGTGAATCTAAGCTTGCAGATGAGAGACTGACAGTAAAAGCAGAAAAGAGGAAAGAAAATGTAAGCAGCCAAACACACACACACTCTCTCTCTCTCTCTTTCTCTCTCTCTCTCTCTCTCTCTCTCTCTCTCTCTCTCTCCACACACACACACACACACACACCATCACACCTTTACACACACATTCTTTCCCACAGCATTGTGCCTCCTTTTATAGATGCCTATTCACAAGAATAGTGCTATCGGCTTCTGTCCCCTGCAGTAATGATGATAAATGGGCCAAGGTGGGAGCTCCATCAGCCATGGAGATAGCTCCCTCTGGCACCTGCAGATAGTGATTCACCTGGCGGACTAGCCGCCTACGCTTCAACCCAGGCCTCACAGTGTCGCTGAAATGTCCCTTATCTCACAAAAACACTTGTGTATTCTATCTTCTGCTGCAGAAAGAAATCCGTGAATTATTGTTATGTCTTGGATTTTTTTAAAAAAGTCTCAGTCATGATTTTGTGGGGGAAGAAGTTACTGAAGAATGGGGACCAGGTGGAAATAAAATCATCAGTGTGTATGCAACAATTTTCTTCTCTGTTTCCTAGAAAACAAAAACGCAGCCTTCGGTGAAATATCCTCGATGAAAAATTGCTCCTACTGTAAGTCCCTAACAGGACTAATGGCTATTTTTTTTTTTTAAGTCTACTAACATTTACTGAGAATCTACTATGTGAAATGCACTATGCCAGATGATACAAATACCAATGTAAATAAGAAATACCAACATAAATAAGACATACTCCATGATTTTTTCTAAGCAATATGAAATCTACAAATAGTACAAAAAGGGGAAATGTGTACTAAATTTCCTAAATTTAGTGAACTAAAGTGTTCACTTTTTGAGAACTGTATTCCTGTACTAAAGACAGAAAAAGTAGAATTATATTGTACCCCCAAATATTCCATTTTATAGCATCCATCTGTTTTCAACCATCCTATATATAATAAAACCCTAATATGCAAATCGACTGAAGGGTGGAATGACCGGAGGAACAACTGGTCACTATGACATGCACTGACCACCAGGGGGTACATGCTCAATGCAGGGGCTGCCCCCAGCCCGCAGGCCCCAGGCCAGCCAAGGCAGCTGCCAGAGGGCGCCCCTCCCCCGCATCACCCCGCCAGTTGCCCCACAGATCGGCCCTAATTGCCAGCCAGGCCTAGGAAACCTACCCATGCACAAATTTCATGCACCGGGCCTCTAGTTGCTATATAAATGTTGTTTGGGTGGAAGTGCTGCTATTAAATGACCTGGCCCAACACACAAGTGTGTATCACTTCTGTCAACAGTGTCTGGTGTGTGTGTCTCAGTGGGAAGAGGGCGGGCAGCTGCCTCATAGCACTCATCAACAAGCAGGTAGCAGGAACTGTAAGCCAGCAGGGCCCTGTGGGCACAAAGAGAAATACAAGAGCAGATTTCTGTCCCCAGGGAACTCCCAGACCAGGGGAAAGGACTAACCCTGCAGCATGCAACAATGACCCATCCATGTTGGGACAGAGAGAAGCGTGCATGGCCATGAGATGGACTACATATTCTCATTAAATATTTAAGGATGAATGATGTATCCCTGGGTACTGCCCTGACACAGCTTAAGAAAAACAGGCAGAAAATAAAGGCCAAACTACTTAGAGGTGATTTTTAAAGTGTAGTATTGGGAAAGGTATGGGGAGGGCAATGTTCATAATGAATCGTGAGAACAGTCCCCTGGTGTTTACCAGTTGTTACGTGTGCTCACAAGGTGGCAAGTGTCAGGGTTGACAGCAAGGACCCTGGGGCCAGCCAGCCTGGTTTCAAATTCAGACTCCACCACCTCCCCATTCCGTGCCTCAGTTTCCTCATCTCTGATGTGAGGGTAGTAACATACCTCCTCAGAGGGTTATTATGATGAATGAATAAATGGTGTAGGGAGCCCTAACCGGTTTGACTCAGTGGGTAGAGCGTCAGCCTATGGACTGAAAGGTCCCAGGTTCAATTCCAGTCGAGGGCATGTACCTTAGTTGCGGGCACATCCCCAGTAGGAGGTGTGCAGGAGGCAGCTGATCAATGTTTCTCTCTCATTGATGTTTCTAACTCTCTATCCCTCTCCTTTCCTCTCTGTAAAAAAATCACTAAAATATATTTTAAAAAATTAGTGTAGGGAAAGCTCTTAAAATAGTGCCTGACACAAAACACATGCTTATAAGAGTCTGTTACATTAAATAAAGGCCCTATTCACTTTATGTAATACATACCTCAAGTTTTTACCTACATGGAATACTACATATATAAAACCAAGATAAGAATCTCAGATATAGCTTCTCCCTTCATAAGATGTTCCATGTTGTCAGTTCATATTTTCTCTGTGACCAGGAGCTATACTGGGTTTGCCAATACTCCTGAATACTCCCAATTGGTCTATAGAGTTAAATGCTATACAAATCAAAATCCCACCAGGCAATTTTGGGAGCAATAACAAGCTGATTTAAAAATGTATATGGAAAATCAAAAAAGTGAAATAGCCAAAATCATCTTTGACAAAGAGAATTTGGATGATTCACACGACCTGATTTCAAGGCTTACTATGTAACACACACACACACACACACACACACACACACACACACACAGCTTTTTGTTTTTGTTTGTGCTTAATTCTACTGAGGTGCTCTTCCTTACATCTTGTTGGTATCACTCATTATTCTCTTTTTTGTTGTTGTTCACCCTCACCCAAGGACATTTTTCCATTGATTTTTAAAGAGACTGGAAAGGAGGGGGAGAGACAGAAACAATGTGAGAGAAACACATCGATTGGTTACCTCTCGCATGTGTATGATAATTTATTTCCACCCAGCTTCTGATGCCAGCTCACAGCCAAATTATAAAGCTTGTGTTGATAAAGAATCACACCACCTGTAGCTTTAAATCTCACAGAGATGCACTGGGATATTTAGGTACTTTGCCCCAAGAAAGCAGCCAGGTATTAGAAGCTATGCTTCCCCCTATTTCAGTCATTAATGATATAATCTCCAAATACCTGTCTCCCAAGCAAAATGAAAAGAATGCTGTTCGTCACCTGATGGAGAACGATGTAGTGGCTTGAAATCCCTGAGGGATAAAAGAATTGTTCGTGCAAAGTATCCCTTTAAGTAAACTAAGAGTAAAAGCAGACTTGGAGATGCTATCACTAAGTTAATGGAAATGGGGTGGGGGCTATACAAGCAAGACCATTTACCCAGCCCTTAGTTCCAGCCTCAAGGGTGGATTAGTGTATACCATGAGTTTTATAAACATAGAGAAGTTGGGTCAAATACTAATGAATTCACATTTGTTAAGTAATGAGAAAGTACGTCGAGAGCTATCCTTTCACACTCAATTTTAGGAGAGACCCAACCAACCAGAACAAGAGAGGAAGGGTTGTTGTAATCTCATGATCTGAATTTTCTGATGGGTTAGACCAGGGGTGGGCAAACTTTTTGACTCAAGGGCCACAATGGGTTCTTAAACTGGACCGGAGGGCCGGAACAAAAGCATGGATGGAGTGTTTGTGTGAACTAATATAAATTCAAAGTAAACATCATTACATAAAAGGGTACGGTCTTTTTTTTTTAGTTTTATTCATTTCAAACGGGCCTGATCCGGCCCGCGGGCCGTAGTTTGCCCACGGCTGGGTTAGGGCTTGAGCACAAATGTTTTGTCCATGGGATTTCCACAATGTATCATGCCACCTGTTGCCCTGTGCACAGGAGAATCCTGCTACTAACAACACACCTGAGGTGTAACCGGTGCTGGCAAACACCATGTACTCTGACTTCTCACCTTAGCACGGTGCAGTCAGATGTGTAGGCCTCCTGTTTTAACTGATGAGGAAGCTGAGGCACAAGGAGATTAATGCATGGAATGAATACAATCCCAGAGGACTCAGAGCCTTTCATCACTTCCTTAAAATTATTCTGAGCTTGAATGATGCCATAATTCTCCTGGATGGCGAAGGTACGAGACTGGGTAGGATTCCGTTTTGGTTCTGGGTCTGGAATTTTGGATACATTCTGGCATTAGACTACTTCATTGTCACTCATCTCCAAGTCTCAGAAGCAGACGAGGTAGGGGTTAACTACAAGTACCAGGCCGTCCAGTGTCTATTTTAATGGTTTCTTAAAATACAGTAGCTGCCCCTATTGCTGTAATTGTGGTGAAAACCCAGTGCCTGGCAAATGAATGACAGTGTTCTGATCACATCCTAATTGTTACCTGGCAGCATCAAAAACTGATCAGTCTCATGAAAGCAATAATCTTATTGGATAAGCTGAGGGTCCCCCCAAATTCCACTGCTTCCATGGATCCCTCATTGAACACTCCTACCACATATAAAATTGATTCTTTTCCCTTTACAAATTTTCTCTTTTCATAAACTTTGTAACGGCAAAAATGCCCCCCAGTTTGAGAGAATTCTTTCTTATTATTGACCATGCGAGTCAAAGGGCTTGGTTTTTAATTCAGTTCCCTTTAAACAGCTGGTGCCTGCTGGGACCCAATCATCCTGCTGTCACGGGATCTTAATAGCATTTTCACACCACGGCTGGCCACCTGCTCTCAGAGCCATCTCATCCTTTCTTGGGGCATCAAGTCACACAACCATTTCTTAAAAATAAGCATCCATACTCTACTGTGAAAATGGAAGTGAAAAAAAGAACACATTGAAAGAGGACAGAAAGACTTCATGCCTGTGTTCATTTTCAATGATGAAAACAGCTATAGAAAAATGCAGTGTAACAGTAGGCAGGTGTATAAAATACTGGAAACTCCAACAATAAAACATCTCTATCAGTAAGTGGGTTTATTGACGTAACTGAACATAACAATGGATAGCATTTATTCATTTCCCACTGAAAGACCTTCCAGTGAAACTGTTTGTACATAGATCCAGGCATTAAGCATGTTCAGTGATGTTCTGCTGTTATCAGGGTGGGTCGTGAGAAAACTAGAGGTCCTTTGCATACTTTCCATGGGAATCAGCACTAGAGGCTGTGCCAAAGCAGCAGCTAAGAGATGCAACTGCTCGATGAATGAAAAAAGCTGGGAGCAGAAAAGGTGCAGGACAGCCCAGGGGTTGCCAGGAAAAGCCAACAACTGCACCTCTTCCCGGTGCCAGCAAGCTCAGAGTCGGAAACAAGCTCTGGCAGCAAACTCAGAATGACAGTCTATTTCCTGTGGTTTATTAAGTTTTGGCCCCACAGATAAGACTGCCAGGAAAGCAGCTGTACTTTAAGTGGTCTGGACATTGATTCATCTGAACATAAACAAAGATCAGTTCATTTAGATCCCTGGGTCTCTGCTCAGCGGTGGGGACAAGGGCAGGCCTGGCTCGGTGGAGGCCACACATAAAAGGAGTGGAGAGGGCCAGGGAGGTGATGGACCCCTGGACTGTGATCGATTCCCTGAGTCATTAGGACCCTCAGGGGCTTAAGGCCCTCAACAGAGGATGCACTGTTAGCCTTAGCACCAATGCCGTGGCCTCCACAACACCCCACTGCCCATGAACCATAACCACAGTGAATGTAACCAGGCCCACCTTCTCAGTGACGACACTTGTAGACCACACACGCAATCATTCATGTAAACCGAAGCACTACATGTAGTGATAAACATGTCCTTCATAAATATCAGGGAACGAAAGTATCTCAAACAGTTGAAAACAACAGAGCAAATAAAGGAGCCTAACCTCTTCATAAATATCAGGGAACGAAAGTATCTCAAACAGTAGAAAACAAATAAAGGAGCCTAACCCTAAGTTTAACACAAAAGCATGGAAAAGAAAGACTGCAATTATCAACTACAAGATAAGATTTAATAACACAGTAAAACACAGGGTCATGGAGGGACTAACTTGCAAAAAGAATTATTTCACAGTGAGGTTTAAGTACTCGTAACAATCTTCTGGTTTTCGTAGAAAAACCACCACCGATGTCCATTTTTTTCACATTTTCCCAATAGTTTCTTCCCTTCTAGGTTTTCGTAGAAAAACCACCACCGATGTCCATTTTTTCACATTTTCCCTTCTATTTCCTATAGAGTAAGACATTAATGTGACCAAACATACACAATCACCTTTTGCTCCCCTATTAGGAAATGTCCTTTAACACTTAACTGTGCAACTCAGGGCCAGTAGGACACAGTCAATTGCATGTCACTGATAAAAACATGAGAAGTAGCACATGGCATTTTCCCCAACCCACACACACTGTCAGCGACGTGGTAAGCAAACTAGAACACTGGCCTTCCCTATGGGGCCACCTGTGACCTACGCATTACATTCGTTGATCAAGTCTGGCATTGACGTTTCCTCTCCCATCTATGGGTTTAAAAAAATAAAATTAAAAAAGCCACAGGAGCAACCCTGACGGAGAAGTCTTGGACGCAGCCTTCTCCAGAGAAAGTGTGTCATCTCAGTTAACCCCAAGGTCAGCGAACCTTCTTGTGATGTTCACGTTAAAAAAAAAGAAAACTGTTGAGCCACCTGGCTCATCTAAAATAGTCCTTGAGTTTGTCAGTTTGTTAAATGTCAGAGCTCTTCACATTGTTGAAAAAAAAAAAGTAGCGTCTCTGATTATTTAAAGGTCAAGTTATCCACCATCAAGGAGTTCCCCCTGGGTGAGTGTGTTAAACTTTACCACCTGCTGACACCATCCTTCTGGGCACAAACCTCCAGACCCGTGGTGGTCCTGCCAAGCCTCCTTTGTCATGGTAATAAGTTCCTTTTTCCTTAAATAAACACAAAACACCTCTTTTTGACACTGAACCTGTGAAAAAGTATTTAGTCTCCAAATCTCCAAATCTGGCCATGCTGGGGGTTAGAAGTCCCCTTTCCTACCCCCAAGGGGGTGAGGCTATTGTACTGCCATGCCACCAAAACCAGTCTCATAGCTGCGCCACGGTCTCCGTGTAAAGAAGGCCTCCCACCTCTGTACCCCACTATCCATGCGTCCCCTACTCTTGGTCTTGACCACCAAGTACCACCCATTTATTTTATGAGTATTGGGAATTGGGGGCAGGGGAGCAGTGCTGAATTGGCCTCTCTGGCCAAATGCACAAAAGGAGACGGTCTGATGGAATGAGATCGTCCCCTGAGGTGGGTTGAAGGGCGCCAAAGAGAGAGGGCTCCTCAAGGCCAATGAGATGGTCCCCACAACCTGGAGGCCCTGGATCTAGTCGGCAAATCGCTGCAGGAGATGGTCCTCCCGCCTCAGGCTGCCGCCCGCGCCGCTGCCCGCGCTGTCCATGAAGCGGTCGCAGGGGAACTCGATGAGGTCCGCCT